CAAAAACAAGTTTCTAGAATAAAAGAACATTAATTTAACTGGCGATTAATTTTTTGGATAATGTCATTAACTAAAACTAAAGTAATGTAAATATAGAATTACTTATTGTCCTTTGATATATGAAAAGAAAGATTCAAGATAATAAATTGTGCAGTCCGGAACTTTATTGTGAACAGTAGTTCTGCCAGTGATTACCAATTAAAACTCAATTTCACCAAATTAATTTTAATCTCGATTTAATTTTATTTTTATTTTTATCTAATTATAAATAAGAAAAAGATAAATACTAAATTTAACCAAAATTATTCTTACATTTGTGAAATGAGAAATTATAATTGATTGATTAGACATCAAAGTCATTTTAAATATCACAAATGCAACAACAAATATTGTACATTATTTATTAACAATTCTTTAACAAATATGTTTCAAATACAAAATATACAGTTTTGTATAATACAGATAAAATTGAATGTATTCCTACAATGATTGTAATCGGCGTACGAGACGTAAGAAACTGATGGAACATTCAGAGAGATCTCTGGATCCTATGACGGATTCATGATAAGCTTAAACAGAGACTGGTGGCATTAGCGTCATCCCATTGCATTCAATGGCGATTTTAACGCCAACAATAAAGAAAGCAATGTTTTTCACCATTGACCTGTGAAAAAAGGCAAATATTAATGTGAAATATTTATATAAGCTACAGAAATTGCAGATACAATAAATTAATATTTTCTCAGTTGAATTTACTTTTTATCTTTTTCTAATTCTAAGAATTAAAAAAAGATAAAGAGTAAGTGAAATCAAGATTAAAGTTAATTGAAGTTAATCTAACTAATCTGGTGGAATTGGACCCTAATATATCCATTTATACTAATGTACATTATTAAATTTACTCTTAATTTTACTTATTATCTTTCTTTAATTCTTAAAACTAGAAAAAGACAAAAATAAGTTCAACTGAGATTAAAGTTAACCTAAATTGGCAGAAATGGTCACAATGGGTACAAGTTCAACAAGTGTATGCTAGTTCAGCTACAAATCTAACAACAACAATAATAATAATAATAATAATAATAATAATTCTATTCTGTGAGAAATAATTAATGAAATAATTAAAGTAAAATAATCTAACACGAGTAGAGGTTAAAGTCACCATCAAGTCTACTCTGCAATCTCTCAAAGAAAAAATGTAATTCATCGTAACCCACCACTTGAACTGATCATAGTAGACATCTTTGAAGATCTTTCCGATTTTTTCCGTCACCATTGTTTGTCTTTTGTATAAGAACTGGTGAAAACTTCAGTTGGTCCAAGTTTCCAAGTTTCTCGTCACCTTTCGTTGAGAAGTGTTTAGGGTTCAGAAGTTCCGCCAATTTCCGCCTTACCGCTTCACCCATGTGTCTCTTCGCATCTTCTGCACTTTCCTTCCTGCCTCTTTTTTCCGCTAAAGATCGAATGTATATTTGTGCCCCATTCCAAATCCAAAGAGTGCAAATAAACGGAGCTGCTAAAGCTTGATGAATTTGCACCTGCTGCACCGGCGCGCTGATCAATAAACAGCGCCCTTTAAAAGCAGAATTACATATGGAAAGAGCGACATGAGCGATACATTCATTCGACGATATAACGATCTGTTTACTCAATAATTACGAAGTAATTAATCGAGGTCAGTTTAGAAGAATAAAATTTTCTAACCGGTGAACAAAATCACCTTTAAGCTTTAAAACAGCTGTGATAAGAGTAATGTGGGACACGTCTCACAAATTAGTGAGCAGTGTATAACGTTGATTAATTGGATAAATGATGGCCGAGTTTCTTCGTAAGGATAATTGAAGTGATTGCAAGGTATTTGTTGACACATTGTATGGTTGTTCCACAAGGATGGGTGCAGGAAAGAGTCAGTTTACGGAAGAAGAGCTGCAGGATTACCAGGTAAGGCTATTTTTTTTCTTGCTTTTGCTTATTTTTAGTTCTGACAGATTTTTTAATAATACTGTGTTTTTCTTGATAGGATTTAACATATTTCACCAAGAAGGAAGTCTTATAGTGAGTATTATCAGTATTGACATTTTCATTTATTTGAGTATATACATATTTTATTAAGATTTATTATATTAAATCAGATTGTTAAACAAAATTATTATATGCAAAATATTTGCTATTTTAACAGCGCACATCAGAAATTCAAGGCACTTGCTCCAGAAAAAGTTGGACACAACAAAAACGCGAAACTACCAATGTCCAAGATCTTGCAATATCCTGAGTTGAGAGTGAATCCTTTCGGCGACAGGATCTGCAAAGTCTTTAGCTCCAGTCAGGATGGTGATTGCACCTTTGAAGATTTCCTGGACATGATGTCTGTGTTTAGCGATGCTGCTCCAAAAGCTGTGAAGGCTGAACATGCATTTAGAATATTTGGTAAGTATACAGATGTCAATAAATTGTCCACGAATGTTGAAATTAAATCTTCAATTCAATAACAAAGTCTTATTTATGAAGATTTTGACGGCGATGATATGCTCGGTGTGGGAGATTTACGGCAAGTCGTCGACAGATTAACTGCACCCCAAAGATTAAATGATAGTGATATGCAGCAGCTTCTTCAATATATTCTTGACGAGGCTGATTTAGATGACGATGGTGCACTCAGCTTTGCTGAATTTGAACACATTATAGAGAAGAGCAGTGATTTTTCTAAGTAAGATGCTTTACAAGATCATACTTATAAAATCATAATTTTTCTTATTTTGTTAATATCGTAAAATTTTTTTGCAGGAGTTTTCGCATTCGTTTATAAACGTATTAACGAATTTGCCAATGAAAGACTGAATATTGAAATTTAATTATAAGACTTGGGCCTAATTCGGAAGAGAAAAAAAAATACGATCGACGCTATTGCAGAATGTGCCAAGGCTCTATAATTTGGCCTAAGTCAGATGATGATCTTTTTTATTTTCGACCAAGCTTATTTATTTGATGTTGTAATAGAAAGAACGGATGTAACTACGAAACGTTTAGATCCCTCAATTTAAAAATATCGTATAATATGCCACATAAAATTGCCAAACATACAGTAGTATTGTTGATACACATGTATGACACTCCAATTATTTAATGAAGAGAAAAGTCTCTTCTTTTGAGACCAGTCATTAAGAATTTTTGAAAGCTATATCTTAATGAAGTTGAATGAATGTACAAATTTGACAACTTAAAGTCATTATATCAATTTGTATCTATTACTCAGTCAGAAGACAGAAGATTCATCTTCATTATGAACTTTCAGAATTATATTTATAATAAGTATTTAAAAATACAATACCCATATTGAAATATATTATTTAAAAATTTTGTTTCGATTGTTATACATTTGTATAATTTTATTTATAATATATATATGTAAAAATGATATATAACATCTCTTATTCTATGTTACAAATGATACTAAAGCTATCCAGTTTTGCTTATATTATACTTTATTACAAAAATCATCAATCCTCTGTTACAATATCCTGTATATTGTAACGATATCTCACACAATATGATATAAAAATGGTAATTCACCATAATATCCCAATTTACAATCGCTTATAACTTAGGACTGTAGATACCCACTAAAAATAAAAAGATAAATATCATTATTTGTCTAATAATATATCACACACAGAGATTATCTCAAAAGCTCAAAAAATAAATATATCTTACGGAAGTTTCATCTTCATGAATATCCAGCATGCAGTAAATGATACAAGTATGCTAAGGAATCCAACACAGATCAAGAGAACTCTGTTAAGTTTGGGCGTCGACGGACCATGCGTTTGATCTAATATGATGAAACCTAATCCTCCCATCGTGAACAAGAAACTAGAGGCTAAACCTTCCATGATGTACTGTCCATTTACGCGATAGGGCATAAACGCTACCTATAAAAATCATACTGGTTTACATTAAAGAAGCTAATTACTGGAGAATAAAGGTTTTCTCAACAATAATCTTACGGGTCTCGTGTGACCATGCTCATCTGTTGTAGATCCTACGCTGGGTGGCTCAACAATTACATCGTATATGATTCCTGTAAGATATCATGTAAAACTGAACAATAAATGATAAACAGTATTAGAAGCATTATAATGTATTATGTTTAATTGTATAAAATAATAAAATATATATATAGGACAGAGAGAGAACATATTAAATTATGTAAAACAACATATAGTATTGCTAGGTAAAAAAATTATATACATAAATACTTATAACGCATTAACAATAAATGTATAAAATAAAACTGTATTGTAAAATAATATTGTATAAAATAATTTAATATTATTGTATAAATTATGTATTTTATAACGCAATAATAATAAATAAATCGAGAAAATTGACGGCTAACCTCCTGTCACCAAGAAGTACGACAGCAGTATGAAGGAGAAGACTATCATAGCACTAGGCTTCACGAACCAGGACGGTCTCTTTAGTTTTAAGTTAGGCACTTCCAAGACTAAGAACGGTAACCGGTAAATGCACTCCATCCTGCTGCGGCCAAGTCTAAGCTACTACGAGATGAAAAAATAAATGATTTTGCCCAGAAACATCCACCTGACAGCTCCAGACTCCAGACAGCCTGAGACAGCCCGGCAACTCTGAAAAAACAGTCTCCTCCACCCCCCTTCACCACCATGCCAGACGCCAGACGGCTCAACCAACGAACCAGCGCGGGGCGCGGGCACGGTGCACGAATATCTAGACGCGTGGCGTTCCACCCGGAAGCGGTTATCACTAGGCGCCTTTCAACGCCGAGCTATTGACTCTCGAGTTCTTGCGGTCGACCGAGTCGAGGATAGTCGAGGACGATATCCAAAAGGGAAGAAAAAGACTCGAACGAACAAACAAACGTGATAGCGCGCCACGTAAAATCTCGTCGCAAGCAGCAACGGCAATTAACTTTCCATTAATTCTGATTAGTTCCCACGAAGTAACCTTGCAGTGGGCAGAGTGACAAGCAAATTTTTCACGACTTAACGTAAAACAACCGCTTAACAGCTTATTTAACATATTGCTCAATTCTTCAGATACTGGTAAGTACATATCGTATTGAATAACAGTATTTATTTTACACACGTCTAAATAATTTTGTGCTATTACAGAGTGTAAAAAAAAGTATGATCCCCGCTGAGAGAGATCCCTGCTGCGAATGTATGATGAATACATAGTCTGAAATCGCCAGGGTAATTTTATGTTGACTAGCACCGGAGGAACATATCGCGAAAAATGAGTGAGACTACTCCAATAAATGATGTACCCGAGAGCAATGGTACGATGGAGCAGCCTGCTTACAATGGTGAAACAGAGGAACACGCTAGTAAGTTCATTTATCACATTTATGATTACTTTTACCAATGTAGAGTGAATTTCATCTTGATTCAATTTATTCTTAATTTTTTCTAGTTCTAATGCCTGTTTCTACCAATGTAGATCAAATTTAATCTCAGTTCAATTTATCTTCATCTTTTTCTAATTCTTAGAACTAGAAAAAGATGAAGAGTTAAACTGATTAAAATTAAACTACATTGCTACAAATGGGTAAATTTTAAGAGTTAGAAAAAGATGAAGATTAAGTTGAACTGAGATTAAAATTAATGTATTATAGAAACAGACATTAGTATGACTTTGATTAACATAATTCAATTGATAGAACTTATAGCAAAATTTATAATTCATACATAGTTCATTGAATCACTAATCTAATCTTTATGTGCATTAAACAAAAAATTCTACATTAAAATAATACAGATATTCATTGATAAATTAATTGCTGATCCTTTCTGTTTCACTAGCCAAATCTCCAGTAAGTCCAGAAGAGAAAGCACCAGATTCAGTGTGCGATAATGGTATAAAAAGGAGTGCCATTGCCACTGGTAATATACCAAATAGAACAAAGAAACGTAAAAAAGCCCCAAGAGACGCCACTGCGCCAAGACAGCCTCTGAGTGGTTACTTTCTGTAATAATCGAACATACAAGTACTTTAATATAAGTTAAAATATTCTATCTATAATGAAATACGTGTGTACAGGTTTTTAAACGATCGGAGAGAGGAAGTTCGAAATCAGAATCCAAGCTTAACGTTCACAGAAATCACGAAGCTTTTGGCTGCAGAATGGAGTAAATTACCAATTGATACGAAGCAGGTTTGTTGCTTTCTTGCTGTATCTCATTTGTCTTTCTAATATTAATCTCTCTAATATTAATGATAAATATTTTCAGCGTTATTTGGATGCAGCTGAGCGAGACAAAGAGCGCTACAATCGCGAGTTTAGCGATTATAAGCAAACAGAAGCATACAGGCTGTTTAATGAAAAACAATCGGAGAGACAAAATGAAAATAAGAAGGAAAGAAACGGCACGGACATAAATACCGAACAGAATGTACGATGATATTACTATATTTAAGATTGTGGCTAATCGATCGTAACGTTAATGGAAACTTCTTATTTAGGACGTTCAGCTGGAGAAGGATAATGACTTTACAGGCTTTGACATCCCTATTTTTACAGAAGAATTCCTAGATCATAACAAAGGTAAAGAAGTTACAAGAATTACGACTAATCAGTAAAATATAATAAAATAGACAAATTAAAAAATAATTAAAATATCTGCGTAGCTTGTGAGGCTGAATTAAGACAATTGCGGAAAGCTACATCTGACTACGAAGCTCAGAACGCGGTTCTCCAACGACACGTGGACAGTCTGCACGCAGCGATAAATCGCTTGGAGTCCGAAACTAATCAACAACGAACGACTAATCAAACTCTGCAGCGTCATTTGGATTCTCTTCGTTCTCAACTAGCAGGCTGCTTCGCCACTATATCGCTTCCAGGCAAGTTCCTATAAAAATTCTATCACTAATCCCGTGTCGGCTTGACATTTTATTTGTATAAGTATTTAATTTTTTATAGGCACACATGACGGTGCTACATTACAAAATATCGATAGTTATTTCGAGAGGTTGGAGTCTCTATTAAGCGGGAACGCTGAGCAAAGTCTACGTAACGCCGTACGTAGTGCTGTGTCTCGTCTCGAATTAGTTGGATGACGATCGCCTTCGGGCAATACAACCAGTGCATCGTTGAAACATCATCGTTCGAGGCATTCACATCGAAAGTAGCGAGGAAAAGTTTAGGTGTGTTGTTTTTTAGCGGTTTGTAAAAAAATTCCACGTTATACCTTACAATAAGACCGGATATAAGGCAGGATGATTGCCAGTTATTTATGAGTGAGTTTATGTGTGTATCGTATTTAATTATTATTTGTGGTACCTTTAGTATACGAGACAATAATTTACACTTTATATACTTATTTTAATTAAAATTGAGTTATAAATATAATGATAATTTCATCAAATTGTACTATGTATCTTAACTTGATATGAACTTAATCTAATTTATGCATTTATGTACATTGAAATAGTTACATGTGCATTGAGATCAAACTCTTGTTAATTAATACCCAATAATTAGTCTGAAAGTTTAAAGAATCTAAATTCAATATTATTTAGAATACTTAGCGCTTATTAAATTATTAATATATTTTCATGATCCTATCACGAATTATTATCCATATTCAGCATATGCTTTTTCAGTTGATTCGACATGAATCTGAAATTATAAGTTTTAATCTAACATCATGTTATATAAACATAAAAATTATTTATAATTTAAAGATTTATGATTATTTTTACCTCAAAGATGCTGCATTGGGTCGATTATATTGTTCAGCATAAAGTATAATAGCTTCAATTTGCGGAAATATATTGATTATAATACTTTTCTTTATCGACAAAATAGATCGTATAAACTCAAATGTAAATTGCGTATTTGTCATCAAATATTTTTTCACTGCAGCAGAAATAGTAGTTTGGAATTTTTCCCTGAAAAGCCAAAAATTGATTATAAATTATATATATTATATATTTTTTTTGTTAATTTTAGATATATATTGATATTTGTTCACCTGATGAATTCATCTTCCTCGTAATAAGGATTTTTTATTATATCATTGACAAAATCAATTGTGTGTAGTTTGTGTGGATGGTGATCGTGAATCTTTATGTAACACCCAAAGATGCTCGGAGAACAAATTTGGATAATATGTTCCGTAATATATTTGGGATACTTTCTTCCTTCTTTAAGCAATGTTTTTATAAGCCAAGTTATCTGTGTGAATGTATAATAGGTGTTAAACTTAATTCCTGCCGTTTTTCGTTTCCAAAATTGATTTGTTTCGAAGGAAAGATGAATGAATACCTGAATCAAAGTAATTTCCTCCATTTTCTACTTTATTACTAATTAATAATACTTTATTAATAATACTTTGATTAAGGTATTTCCCTTCGAAACAAATCAATTTTGAAGACGAAAAACGGCAGGAATTAAGTTTAACACCTAATATATTTGCGACACACTGTGACATTGAACAAGTAATTATACGATTGCATACCAAAATGGAGTGTTTGTGCAAGACGTTGTCGGATGATACATTATAAAAGTTTGACATCAGCATTTCGAAAATCATACGTAGAAATTCATTCTTTACATCCTTAAAGCATTTCAGCAATGTATCAGACACCTTAAAACTGCAACCGTTGTTGACTTCAACTATCAGAATCGGCAAGTATTGATCGAAGATATCTCGGATCATCGCTTGCAATAATATATCGCTTTTGACATTCAATTTCTCCAGTCCGAGCATTATCATTGAGAATATCTTCTTTCCCAATTGCTTTATATACGACTGTGTAGAATTCTCTGGTACTAATATAATTTTATTGATGAGTGTTCTTAACATATCGTTTGGTTGATTCTGTAAAGGCAACATTTCTTTTATAATACAAAAATTTCAACAGCGATTAAGTTATACATACTTTAAAATATTTACTTTAGTATATAACATTGGAGAAATGCAGAGAACCAGTGTACCAAGACATCTATAAATCCAAAATGCAAGTTCCGAATCTTTTGTTTCCTCAGTTATAGGTATCATGACCCATTTCTCTAAATTCTTGAAATACGTTTTACATTTCGCGTTGTACTGATGCTTTTCTTGCTCAGACTGTAAAATTTTTCAGTTGTAGTAATTGGTTTCTGGATTGAACACGAGCATGCTGGATTCATAAAATTAATACCTTTAAAGTATTTAGTTTCTTCATGAACGATATTATGAATGTCAAAATAGGTTCGTCACTGTTCTTAAATTCGTACATATCATTATCCAACACGAATATTTCTTTAATCTCATTAAGATTGATAATGTAATTTTGCAGAATCCTTATATCTTCCTTGTTTATATTGTAACCAACAATGGAACATTTTATCCAAGCCTGAAACATATATTTTATTAACTCTCTTCTAATCGCTTTGCAACGTGTAATGACAAAGCAAGTTGATACAAACTTGGATAAGAATAGTATCAAAATTCGGAATTTCCTTTTTCAAGTTTTGAACAGCTTCTTTATTCTCGAGAATAGACGTTAAATAATACTGAGTAATTCTGAAAGCGAGATAACTTATTATTATACTATTTTTAATAGATATTGGTTTTCAGATAAAACATTTTTACCTTATATCTTTGACAAATATCGATGCTGTAAAGCACTGAAATAAAGATGCAGTCGAATGCTCATACTTCTTAGCAGTAGCTGGTTCTCTAACTGCCTCTAAGGTGAATATGACAGCTAGTTTGGAAATAATTTGGTAATTGTTACCAGTAAGTACAGGATCACAAACGAGTTGACGAATTCTTGATGCAACACACCACAGTGCGTCTAACATTTTTCTGGCACCATCTACAAGCATTTTTGCGAGTGTTTGTACTTTCGTCATACAAACTTGAAAATATATCATTCGAAATTACAATATTAATATATTTGAATAAATTTTTACAAGAACGAAAGACTCTTAATTTAAAAATATATTTGAAATAAAGACAAAGATATACCAACCCGAATTGTTACATGAAACTTGCAAGATGATACATTTTTCGAAAACATTCACGATCATCTCCAATAAAGATCCAATTCTGTTCTTTTGGCACTCTAAAAGATAACGATCGATCCAACCACCGATAAAATTAAACTCTCCTAGATCCATTTTCTCATTGCCAACCAAAATCGTGTTTAATACATCCACAAAATTGATCATCATGGAACGAGATGTTTCATCCTTGCAACAACTTATCAATTTAATCTGTAAAAAAAAATCAGGATTTACAAAAAATGTATATGATTTACATTTATATAATTTACATGAGAAATGGAGCATACTGTTTCTGTAAAATGGTCAGCTATGGAACCAAGAGATAATTTTTTTTCATTGAACAGCAAAAGACACGCTAGTTTTCCTTTCCAAATTAGACTGCAATTTTTATTATAATCGTTATTCAATTCATGCGTAGATGGCAGGAAATCTAACATTGTTATACACTGTAAAAACGTATATTAATAGACATCGTTAATGAAGAATTTAGCAATCGTATATATTTTTTAACTCACAACATTTGTATCTGCAGTAATAGCTAAAGTAATAAACAAAGATATGAAATTGTAGAGGCCACTCTCCGAGAATTCTGCGACTTTGTTTTTCGAAAATTTTGTATATACACGACCCTTAATTTGAATCCAGTATTTTGGGTTTGACGTGCCGTATTTTTTCAAAAAGATACCTAAAAGATTAACTTTCATAATACACTCAACACTCAGAAAATTTTCCATCTACCCACCTATCAAGTGTAAGAACATGCCATAGCTGGATTCCTTGGAATGTTCAAACTTGCCATAAATTCTGTCATTAATCTGTTTCAAAATATCCGTAGCTGTCTTCCTAAAAAAAATATTCAAACTTTATTAAATTATTTTTGAACATATAACTACAATCTTTGTATATAAGCTACTTGGACATACTTTTCAAGAGACAGGGCCCAAGGCCCAGAAGTTTGTAGTAGGAACGGTTGATCTAATCTTTTGTGGAAACAGTCCCAAAGAAAAAATATAATTGGTACTCGCGGTTGCCACCAATTAATAATAAGATCGAGTAATAACGGTATTATGATCTTAAGCTCCACATCAAGCTCATCCCTTTCACCGTCTTTTCCACCTTTAGATACGAATGCTTTTAGAACCTTTTCAACTTGTTCGCAGTTAGATTTAATCTGTAAATAAAAACATATCCATTATACGACCTATGAAGTTCAATCTAATTTATATCGTAATTACCCTTGAAGAATTAGATTGCAAGTATACGCCATCATTACTGTATCCATACAACAGAGACAGATGATATATTATCCAGATGCAAAACAACTCAGGATTTTTACAATCTGGCAGAGAGGAGTCCACATTTCTATGCCAGAAGATCGCTTGGGACTGATTCTTACTTAGTACTCTATCGATACAACTATTTACAACATCCCAAAACATCTAAAATTTAATTATAAGTATATTTATGAAAAAAATTATTATTACCTCGATTATTATTATTAATACCTTAGTTTTTTTCCTTTCTCCTAAACTGTCGACAAGTATTTGAAACATGAGCCATAATTCTCGCGTGCACGTGCAGCAGTATGGCGTTTTCTGCGTGAGGTCAATAGTCCAGTTTAAGGCTAACTGAACAAAAACAGAAATATAAAATATTATGTTTATATTATTACACAAACAAGTCAAATATTTTAATCATTTTCACCCTTTCAAATATTTTCAAGGTAGAATATAAGAGATCATTGATGACCATTTCAGCAGTAGTTTCAAACTCCTCCAGCTGTGTGTGATATTGAAACCATGTAGTTCTCGAATGCATTAACGTTACAAAGAACCACCTTAACTCTATATGGATATGGTACAAATGAAATTCTGGCTGATTACACTGAAACAGAAATAACGTTTTTGCTCGGCCAAGAAGACAACCCATTTTTTTAGTTACCTTATTCCCTATATTAGAAGCAGCATAATGCAGAGTCGAATCTGGGATGCTATGTAAAGTACTGAGAAAGTGTTTAAGGCAGTCAAATAGACTATCCACATCTTTACTGATTTCAGGCATTACTATTTCTAACGCATTAAAATCCCATTTTATGCTACAATGTCAGAATAAAAGACAAATCAATTATTGCAAAATCAAAACATCATAGAGATAAGAAAGCATTTACCTGTTCATATACATACGGAAATATACAATAAATTCGCAAATCATCCTTCTTAGAGAAAAGTAATTTACATTATCATTATTGCATGATCCAGATATCGTGACTGGCCTCTCCTGTCTGTTTAGTATTTTCAATTGCATTCTGCAATAAAAAAATAAATGTAAGATTATAGATGATATTCATTCAGTACTCTTTAAAACATGACAATGAAGATTTTGTTCTCAAGAAACATTCTTACTCCATGCAATTAATAAGATGTTTAAGATCCATCATGGCAATTGCTCCAGGCATGACGCAATCAAAGAGCTTGACTTCCATGTGTGAAAAGGGATAGTCGGTTTGCAAAAAAAGCGCATCGTCCACCTCCCTGCGATAAAACAGCCCGCTCCTGTTTAGCTGCCAGTCGTTGACATTCACTTTGCCACTGCAGTCAAAAGTAGCATCGAGATCCATCTGTAATACTCGTGCTAAATTATTTATCAGTATATTATAAAATTGAAGTAATATTACAACTTACAATATATTGGCTGCTTTCAGCAGAACATAAGTTTTGCAACCGTTTTTTATGATTGCTGAGTATCTAAAAGTATAATCCAATCAGCGCGAAGAAAACTTCCAACAGTTGCAAAATAAACTTTCTGCTGAATATAGCCATTATAAGTAATAAATTTTTTTGCATACTTCTCTGTATTTGTGATAATAATTGTAAGATTCGTGTCTCAATTGCGTTGCCGAGACAAAAATTTTCTCTCTCTCTCTCTCTCTTTCTCCCTTTTAACTGGCACTCGCGATCACTTTGGTTATATTCTGATCATAAATTGATCATATAAGGTAACAAAAACCCAAAATACAGGCAACAAAACTGATAGTAAGCATAAAAAAACTCGGCTAATAAAAACCCAAGATAAAAAAACATCCAAACCGAAACGAAACGTCCCAGTTCGCGTTCTTCTCTTCTTCTTCTGGTTTCCCCTTATTTGGTTTTCCGACTCAAACAGTTCGCGTTCGTCGTTGGACTGTTTAGACAAAAATCATGGAAATATATATATATATACGTATTTCCACCATGCAAAAATTGCATTTACGATCCTGATGAAAATTCCAGATATTGAGAGAGAGAAAACGTGTCCATCATGTCCATGCCTGGACTAGCAGACGACTTTATGCATTTTGGCGGCATCTCCAGTGGCGCTGATCACGTGAATCACTGGTAAACCGCGGAATCAATTGTGGGACGAAAGACGATTGAATTCGTCTGACGGAAATCTGCGATAAAATATTACCATGTATGTACAACCGAAACGTAATTTATCCGTCTTAATTATTATTTCGAGTTAAATTATATATTGTGTATATATATATATATATATATATATATATATATAATAATTATTTTATTGGAAATTAAACTATTATATTTATGAAAAATACAAATCAATTAGTTTCAGGTAAACGCAATGAAATATCGCAATCATGTGTGCTCCACTTTTTTCTCACGTTTTTCTCTCGTCTATTCTTTCATGCAATTCCTTTGTATTCCGGTTTTCCTATATCTCTCCATCTTTTCGCTTCTCATCGAAAGGTCGAGAGAAACCTCCCTTTCTCCGCTGCAACCGCACGATTTCCATAGGCCGCATCCAACGCCGTTGTTTACAAGCTCGCGCACAACAACGTCGAAGATGGCGGCAAAAGCGAGGAGCGCGTCGAACGAAGCGGCCACGTGCGCGTGAATATACACAACGGTAGAACGCGACGAGCCCAACGCTGCATCGCTCGTTATTGAAGCGATCTAGCCGTGAACGAGACGCGTACCGGACGCGTGACACGCGTGCCCGAACTTGACCTGATCGCTCGTCCAGTCGGCGGCGGCGGCGACAGCTGAGAGGATCTCATGCCCGTAGACCTGATGACTCACCCGCTTACGATCGGATGATGATGCTTCTATGAGGAAGAACGACAACGTAGACACGAAGAACCCTTGGATCACACTGGTCAACATGAATACTTTCAAAGATCTACACGAGGAGGTACGCTGCATCCTCTTTTTGAGGCCTCTCCTAAGCTAGCACTTTTATCTAGGAAGCGTAGGTTAGCTCTTTCGTGTCAGATTTGTATTTTAGCCTGACGTGGATGTTTCTCGTACGCTTCTGTAGGTTCTATCGTTCTCTCTGTGAAGCCTAAATACATGTTATTCATTGTATGTATATTTCATCTTGAGAATATTTTAAAAACAAGTTCCTTTGTTTTGAGGGATGTACGAAGGCTAATTGATTTTACTTGTATTTTGATTATGTACAACGTATTATTATGTTTTTTATAATCTACAAGTGTTTTTAATGAAGTTTGGATTATTTCTGCATTGTTTGATATTTCACAAAGATCTACTCTTTAATCTAGATGAGATAAAGAAAAATGAACTTGTAATTGTTTATTTTTACAGCCTCCTTTGTTACAAGCTATATTTCAAGGAAATGTGGAGGCAGTTCGTACATTGCTATCGCAAAAAGAGGATGTTAATTGGCAAGACAAAGAGCAGCGTTCTCTTTTACATGCGGCAGCATATAGGTTAATATCTCAGTTAAAGAAAATGCTGGAAGCTCAATAATGTCCACAAAAAGTCCATTTCTACCAATATATATTAACTTTAATCTTTCATCTTACTCTTCATCTTTTTCTAATTTTAAAACTAGAAAAAAATGAAGAGTTGAATCAAGATTACAATTAATCTGCATTATTAGAAAAGGTCCATTTTAATATAGATCAAGGTAGTTCACACTTTATCTGTTTCTAATTCATAGAACTAAAAAAATATAAAAAGTAAGTTAAACCAAGTTAATGTACATTGGCAAAAAACGAGTGGACTAGAAGTTATTTTAATTATTATGTAATTAAAAACAAAATATATATATATGGTATTCATGTTTCAGAGGAGACACCGCTATTGTAGAACTTCTCTTGTTAAACGGTGCAACAGTCAACAGCAAAGATAAGAAATGGTTGACTCCCTTGCACCGAGCCTGCTGCTCGGGAAATTACAATGTAGTGGACGTTTTGTTGAGATACAAAGCGGACGTAAATGCTCGAGATCGTAGTTGGCAGACACCTCTTCATGTAGCAGCTGCAAATAACGCTGTGCAATGCATAGAACTTTTAATGCCACATTTGTTAAATATCAATGTCTCAGACAGGTGCATACTTTTGATTGTGTCATTATTGTACAATAGTTTTCTCACAATTGAAAATTATATTTATTGAGATTTATAATAAATTATTGACAACTATTAAATATATACATATAGATTATTGTTAAATTTTTAATTTCTGCAGAGGTGGAAAAACATGTCTTCATCATGCGGTGTATAACGGACATCTTGAAATGTGCGAATATTTAATGCAATTTGGTTGCGCGATAAACGCCTCTGACAAGAAAGACCGAAGAGCTTTGCATTTCGCGGCGTACAAAGGCCACAACGAAATTGTGAAAGCGCTAATAGCCAAAGGCGTCGAAGTGGATGTTAAAGTACTAATTTGTTATAAAATTTGTTTTAAGAATTTTTTAACCTAGGTGTAAATATTGTATGTTTTTCTATGTTTAGGATCGAGATTTATATACTCCGTTACATGCAGCAGCTGCTTCTGGTAATGCAGAATGTGTGCACATTTTAATCAAAGCTGGAGGTGATATCGAGGCCAAGAACGTATATGGAAATACACCATTGCATATCGCATGTTTGAACGGATGTCCGCTTGTGATTAAGGAACTTATAGCTAATCGCGTTAATTTAGGTGAGCCCTTATTAGGATTCTGAATACTTCGATTCGTGACATTCGAATAAACGTTATATTAATTGTTCACAACAGAGGCCGTAAATTATCGAGGGCAGACTGCGTTACACGTTGCTGCTGCCAGCGTACACGGTGTTCACTGTTTCAAGATGTTGATCTATAATGGGTTGAAGGTCAACGTTCAGTCGGAAGACGGTCGTACACCTTTGCACATGACTGCGATCCACGGAAGATTTACAAGATCTAAAACGTTGCTAGATGCAGGTGCTTTTCCAGACGCGAGAGATAAAAATGGAAATACAGCATTGCATATTGCCGCCTGGTAAATCGCCTGTGGACGTAGTACTTTGTGATAATACTTTGAGCGAGATTATAAGAACAAAACTTTAAATTACAGGTTTGGCTTCGAGTGTCTGACGACATCTTTATTGGAAAGCGCTGCATCCCCAGCTACACGCAACGCACAGCAACGTACACCTTTGCATCTGAGTTGCCTAGCAGGACATATAGAGGTGAGCCACATATTTTTTCGGTATCTGTACTATAGCTACTTTCCTTTTGGGAGACACAGTCGATACAAACGTCATTCTATATTTCTTTGCATTCGATAAGTAATAAAGATACAATGAAACTGATCATATCAAATGTACAGATACAATGAAACGTATCATATCTCTTAAAAGGAAAGCAGCCTACATTTGATTTATGTTATGATGATTTAATGTCCGATTTGGTTTTATTGTACCGTAGGTCTGTAGAAAATTATTGCAACTCGATAGCAGGCGAATTGACGCGCGAGATATCGGTGGCAGGACCGCTTTACATTTGGCGGCATTTAAGGTAGCGCATCACTTTTATTAATATAGTGTTAATATTTTTTGAATTTAATAGCATAAATCGATGTGTAACAAGAGAAAGAATATATTGGGTTTATTTTAAACAGGGTTCGGTAGACTGCTTGGATCTGCTGTTGTCTAGCGGTGCCAATTTCCGTCTTGTCGACAATGACAATCGATTAGCTCTTCATCATGCTGCATGTCAAGGACACTACCCTTGCGTCTTCACTCTGGTTGGATTCGGTAGCGATTCGAATGCTCAAGACGTGAATGGCGCAACGCCGTTACATCTGGCTGCAGCGGCATCGAATTCTAATGCTCAGTCAGTTTTCTCTCTAACGAGTCATTTTCTTAAATTAATTTGTCTATATGATTTATTTTAATTTTATGCAGATCTTTCAAGTGCGTGCAGTATTTGCTGCAGCATCGGGCAGATCCACGTTTACGCGACAAACGCGGTTTTACTGCGATCCATTACGCGGTGGCTGGTGGCAACAAAGCGGCACTAGAAGCGCTTCTGAATGCGTCATCGTCGCCTTCAAATTTGGCCACTTCGCTCAACTCTTCAACCGGTCAAGAGCCATCCTTGCCGGCACTCACTCCGATACATCTCGCGGTACGTAAACGCAAAAGATACGTAAATTTAAATAAAAATTCATATTAATCCTAATCTAAAATGAAATTTTAGAATTTAACATGACGGATTAAAAAATTGAAAAATATTTGATGAATTTATTCGCTATAAACAAATATAAAACTTACCTTTTTATGATAAAAATTCTTATGAAGTAAAAAAGTGAATAAAAAATGCAAAATTCGATATTGCATTTTTTATTCACTTTTTCACTTCATAAAAATTTTTATTATAAAAAGGTAATTTGTATATAATTTTTTATTTCTTATACACAATGAATTGTTTTTTTCTAAGAGAAAACAATCAGTATTTTTATAGATTTATTCAAAATATTTTAAGTAAAAAAGGAGTACGTGGAAAATTATCAAATTATATATTACAAATTAAAGTATGTTAATTTGTAATATATCTTTTATTTAAATTTACAACCTTGTAACTTTATTAGTTTATGTGCAGCTCAATTAATTAAAATATCATTAAAAATGATAGTTTTTTCTTAGTTTAAGTTTCTATTATAAGTATAAATTATATCAATATTATAAGTATAAATTATATCAATAGGTATGTGCATATTAGTAGCTAAGTATAAAAAAAACATTAAAAAGATTAAGGAGAAAAAGGTGGGACATATTTGTCCCACTGTCCCTGTAAGGGTTAACAGGCATATCACGGTCATGACGAGATCTTGCAGCTACTTCTGCCCTTGTTCCCTAATACGAATATCAAGGAAGACAGCGGAAAGACGCCGTTAGACTTGGCTGCCTACAAGGGGCACAAACAATGCATCATACTCTTGTTGCGATTTGGCGCTTCCGTGGCAGTACAGGTGAGAAGAACCTGGATTCTTCGCTTGGTAAGCGTACATTCACACGCGTAACACTAATGTCATCGTGTTTCCAGGATTCCGTTACGAAACGCACGCCTGTGCATTGTGCCGCTGCCACAGGTCACGCGGATTGCCTGGCTCTTCTTCTACAGAACATGGATGATCCCAACGTCGTAAATTGTTACGACTCCAAACAACGCACTGCTTTGACGCTGGCGGTAGCGAACAACTTTCCGGAGTGTGCGATGCTATTGTTAACGTACAAGGCCGACTGCAATTTGCCGGATGTCAATAAGCACACGCCACTATTTCGCGCTGTGATCAACGAACGCGATAATCAGCTAGTGAAACTATTATTGAAGCATGGCGCTCAAGTAGCTGTGCAAGATGTGAACGGTAAAACTCCGTTACATTTAGCATCGGCTTGCGGCAGGTAAGAAGTTACGTTTGTACGAAATTTTTCGCTGCGATCTAGAACTGCTTTACATCCCATTTGTTTGTAGATTGTACGCTTTGGCTGCACTCGTTAAAGCCGATCCAACTGCAGCGGCTTTGAAGGATGATCAAGGCTGCACGGTGCTCCACTGGGCTTGTTATAATGGCAATTCGAATTGTGTGGAATATCTTTTGAATCATGACGTGTTCGATTCCTTGGAAGGCATGTAGCTTCTCGTCCTTTGAAGACGATTATCCAATGTGATATATCAAGCTAACTTTTTAATTATTTACAGGTAATCCGTTTTCTGCCGTACATTGCGCTGTATATCAGGGATCTGCGCACTGTCTAGACTTGTTGATCAACAAATTTGGCGGACAAGCGGTTGCTGCTCCAAGAGATTCATCGTGTGGCTTATTACCACTGCATATCGCGGCGAGCGCAGGATCTGTTGAGTGCGCGCGATTAATTCTGAACTCCGTCGGGCCGGAATTAGCCGGTCTTGAGACGACCGACTATTTCGGACGGACGCCACTTCTTTGCGCGGCTGTCAATGGGCAATGCAACGCTATTGGTAATTTAATCGCTCTATAACGAAGTTATACTTTTACGTTATTTTCGAGATAATCTCGTATTAATAAGATGCATCTTGTAGAATTATTGCTCGAATGGAAAGCTGATGTTCGCGCTGTTGACTCTAATAAGAATACGGCACTGCACTTAGCGTGTCAGAGACGTCATTCCGCCGCAGCGTCATTGCTTTTAAACTGGATTGAGTCACTCGGCAGCTCTGATACCGATAAGAACACGTCACAATTGCAGCGCGTTTCTGTCATTAACATGATCAACAAGCAGCAGAGAACGCCATTGCATCTGGCGGCGAGAAATGGTCTTGTGACGGTAAGCAGAAAGTGTGTTGATGATATCAGAAATGTAACAGCTGACATTTTCTGAGAAATATGTTTTGTTCAGATTACTCGACGATTATTGCAATTGGGCGCAAGTGTTATAGCTGTCGATGCTGATGGGCTTACGCCTGCATTAGCCTGTGCTCCAAATCCGGCAGTGGCCAAGTGTTTAGCGACTATCCTTTCCGCGCAGGGTAATATTTCATTTTATCCATTATACATATTGTAAAAAATATATATATTCATGTGTGCATATAATATATAAGACCGCGCTATTCCTATTAGGTCAAAACGGGGAAACTACACAATACTCGCCGGCTATTCAGCACACGTTGGAGGTATATCTGAACGGCGTGGACTCGCAACACAGCTCCGACTCGGAGTTTTACTGACAACGAGTGTCGGCACGCTCGAATCGTCAAATGTTCCGAGCGAGAATGAATGTCGGCTCGAGACGCGGCTACATCGACGCCGCTAGACTGATCTTGATGAGCTACTGGCTCTTTTCCGTTCTAGTATAATTAGCTCTGACGTGCCGGGTGAGGTTGCCATATAGGCGGATCTTCCATGGTGATTAGCGTCAATCATGACAATACTGGTGTCTGTGCTATCAAGAAACTTGATAGAACAGCTAATCGACTGCCAAGAGGATGGATACGTATACAATGTAAGTTAACCAGTTACTTAATAATAGTCGATAAACTTAGGTATACTTAGAAAATGATCGAGCTGTACAGAGTATTGAAAGTCAGCTTTCTGTTTGTGTAATTAGGCATTCACGAGGTAAAATATTGTCTTATAAAAATCCAGTGTTATAATTTCATTTTAAAATCTGTCAATTAGAAAGAATGTAAGATCATGTTTCGGGGATATTTATGTGCGTATATCATCCAATTTTGATCGCATGTTGTATGACTAACGATCGATAGAATGATTAATGCGCTAAATTGAGAAGACGCCCTCACGAAATTCGGGAGATCCGGGTTTGAATCCCGGCTGAGGTAGTATTTTTCGCAATAAATTATTTACAGAGTTTTCAAGATGCTTATTAGCATCAATTATTAACAGCTTTCTAAGATGTCGAATTGCATTAATAATATTAAATTGCTTGTCAATTTAATTTGTGATATTACTACTTTAGCTTCGGTTTACGACTGTGTTTCAAGACCGATGAATAATCGGCGCACAGTTTGCTTGAACTGGAAATTGTATAAATTCACCAAAAAAAATATCGTTAAGCACGAAGAACCGCCTTGATCGAATATGGCATTTTTCATTTATATGTGCTTAATGCGCTGTCAATATTCTCAACTATTTATGGGTGTCTTCCAACAAGCAACTTAGTATAACATAGTGATCATCTCATCCTTGTTTAACATTGGCGAACAACAAGGATATAATGATGCACCGTGTCATGCGTGTCTCTTGTTGGAAGGCACCCTATGTAACTAGTGTATTCTAAAACGGATTCATCTGACAATGAGACATTACCGTAGGGCGTATCTTTTTCATTAGAGAAAGTACAAAATTTTGCCATTAGCACTCAATTATATTCCTCTAGAACATTATCCCACGTATTGAAATTAATTTACTTTTAAACTCTAGCAAAATATCGGGATTACATGATATCTATTTTTCTCTCTTAAATATCTTACATATAGATATGTATCTCTCTTATACATAGTTGAGAACGAGATCTAGCTTTGCTGCACGCATTTATGCAATTTTCATCTCTTGTAGCCTACAACATCTAATATAATAATTAACGCACATATATATACCTCCTATATTTCGAGCGATATGTTTGCATAATTTTTTTAATCGCGTTGGTTAATGTAACGAGTAATAATAAGATTCTCTCACGATCGCGAGTCTCAAATATGGACCACAAAGAATAATAATAAAAATCGCGAATACAAATAATAATAGTTGCGTTAAATAAGTCTCGATTGCAATTATAGATCTAACAATGAAACAGTGGCGTATCATCAGTTTTGTAGTTGAGTAAATGTAGCAATAAAGAAAGGCACAATTTGTTTGTTATGATAAGGAACTAGATATCAGTGCAAATATTCATAAAAAATATAATGTAGACAATGCTCAATTGATTGCATTTACTGAACTAGATCGTTTTGCATTAGTTAGCCGAACACGTCTTCCATTCTCAGTAGTAGTCTTAACTTAAAATTTTAATGCATATTCTCTGCGTTAACGCCACTCGTATTTTATCTACATTTACATAAAAAGATTTTCCTTCGGATTATTTTATATACTTTTTTCCCACGTTTTTAATTCGGGGAATCAAAATTCAGGTCGAACGTTCGCGGAAATTTGACGATTTGGTTTATCATATGAAAAAGCGTAAGATTGATGTGTAAAGGAGAAATGCTGAAAGTATGAATGTTTAATTCTCAATGTCTTAGCGTTGTAAATATATCGAAGGGAACCGAATAACCCCCTCCCAAGGACTCTGTACAACAGAGCGGTACGACGAGGAAGAGAATCGAATATTTAGCTATTTTCTTAAAGATTTGTAGTAAAGAGCATAAACTGCCTGACTGTAATTGTATGTCGATTGAGAAAGTATAGTTTGTAAATGTAAAATATGTAACGGCCGATCGAGGAATTGAATCGGATTATGTCGGAACATTTTATTTTTAAATGTTTCACATGCTTTTTATGCTCTCCGTTAACATTTTGATCGTCGCAGTAATCTACGTACATCGTGACTTTATTTTCTTGAAAATCATGGTATTTGGATATTAAGAAGAAATTTGGAGATGACAGAGCAATAGGAGTCGGGCGGTAGTCGTTGCGCAAATAATATAACACAAAACTCTTTATTACAATAACGCGCTTACATGTTTCGGTGAGGGTTTTTAAGCCCTTTTCAGTGACATAAATCATCTTTGTATTGCGAGATTAATTTAATGTTTTTCATTTTTTAGTACGAGATGTATAATCCATATTAAAAAAATGTAATAAAATATAACAAAATCACTTAATTTGTAATCGTCAAACGCCATAATTTTCAAGAAAATATCCTGCGTAATATCAATCAGTATCAAGGAGAATATTCATCGCGGTAATTGTCTCATTATTTTTGTACTTAAAATTCCCTACAATTTTTGCATTTAATAGATTGTAAATATGACCTTTAAGCGACGGTATATACATACTGATGATCTTAAATGCTAAATGTGATCGATATTATATAGAAAATCGTGTAATTCATCGATAAGAAGACGTCGTAGTTTTACTGTATATATAAATTTGAATCATTGCTTGCGCGTGATAATTACGTGGTTAATGAAATTGTTGATACTGAGAAATCACGATCTCCGATTTGTACATGATTTTGTACTTGTGACTGTTTTATAAAAACAGAAATACGAGAAGAAAAACTGGACATGTGCGTTATTATCAGACGCGTGAAACTCCACATCACTGTAATATGTACATATAATATAATCGAGAAAATTATTTTTTCTATACCCCTTTCTCTCATACAATTTCATAGAATATACGTGGGCAGTTTAATAAGTCATTGACTTTTTAAAAGGAGACTACGTTGAAAAATAAGTCGAATTTTAGTAAAAAGAAAATTTAAGAAAATCACTGATTTGTCATACCGCCCTCGTAATGCCGTTACATGGATATTACATTTTAAGGGGTTCCACCAATATGTATCTGTATCACGAACATTTGTAATCAATATACGCCATTACGTTTTATTTTCACACATTGTTGCTCAGTATTGTATTGAAAGACTTTGTCCCTGAAATGAATTCACTTCTCACACTCCTTTCACTCAGAATTCTTCAAAGTCTCCAATCAATGTAGAAATTTGAAGCGTACATGGAAAGAAAATTATTACTTAAGAACCATTCTCAGTACTATACTCGCTTTATTTTCAGAATATCGAATCTTTAATTTATATCAATAAAATTTCGTTAAAAATTCTGTAATTTTATTTAAGACTCCTGAGTAGTTACCACAGCTATATTTAATCGTGACGTCAAAAGTGAGAAATAACACGTTAATTTTTATTACGTGTCATTTGTAAATAAAGACAATTTGGATAAAACAAAATGATGAGAGCGCTTTAAAACAATTATAAAAATCGGACTATTATTTGTTTTCTAATATGAAGAAATGGTTTGTGGGAAAGAAATTTTCATCAAATAATAAAATCATTGCCGAAACAATTGCTTATTTTGAAGACTTAAATAAATCATACTATATGGAGAGGATAAAAAAATTTGACCATCGCTGGACTAAATGTATAAGCTTAAAAAGAGATTATGTTGAAAAATAAAAAAGATTTTTCTTAAATAATTGAATCTTTATTTTTGTACGGATTTATCGAACCCACGAACTTATCAGCCCTCGTATATATACGTTAATATTAAACTATATATTAAAATTTATTTAATTAATATTTATTATTTGGCAAAAGTATATCCTACATTTTTTATCTGTACAAAAAATTTGCATTATATTAGAAATAAAAAAAGTGCTGACAAAATTATACAAATAGAGTGAAAATGTCTGTTTGAAAAATTACATAGTTATTTATATAAAATGTAAAGTATATACATACATATATATATACATATATAATTATATACAATTGTGTATATAATTAATAATATAAGTAACTATTATAAAAATATTATCAGATGAGTAATTTTAATCTTCGAAACTATACATTTCCAGGAATGTTCGTAATACTGAAGGAACATTTGACAACAACAGATAAAATGGCATTTATACTAATGACTGATCAACTCTCAGCTTATCAATTGTATAAAATAAATAAATAATTATCCTAAACATAATTTAAATATCCTAGACATAATATATAAAATTGCATATAGGAATTAGTATAAAAGTTCTTCTGGATTTCTCGTATCAAACGCGCACGCGATCAAGCGCGATTACGATTCGTTGATCACGAGTCAATTTCTTCTCGGAAACTTCAATATCTTTCTCTAGTTTCTCCGGAGACAGTTCCAGGCAGAAGTTGTCGTAGACATACGCGTTCGCCGCGATATTTGATTGCTTTTCTTCCGAGATCGACGTGAATCGCTGGAGGATGATGTTCTTCGGTTGGGACCACGCGTTGGAGAAGATCTTGCCGGCATATATCGAACTGTCGTCATTCGATCTGCTGGAGAACTTCATCTCGATATCGTCGAGGCTGCGTCCCCGCGTTTCCGGCAGTATCGTTAGAGCGAAGATTACGCCCAGCACGCCAGCCACACCGAATATCCACATAGTGAACTCCAGACCGACAATAGCCTTCAAATCTGGATATGTCTTGATTGTTACGAACGTTAATATCTGCACGATGCTGGTTGTGAAACCTCCAAGACTGCCTCTAAATCTCAACGGGTACAATTCCGAGGTCATGACCCACGGTAACGTGAGGAAGCCTATCATGGACATGCCTACGTGGATCCCGATGCAAAGTAGTGGCATCCACGATGGGAGTTCGAACCTGGTAGAGGAAGTTGTATTATTTCTAAGAATCACTTCGATCAGAAACGTATGAGAAAAAACGAAGAACTTTGAAGATATTTAAATTAAAGGTACCAAACGTATATTTTATAACGTTATAATTGTCTGTATTTACACTGAAAATGACCCAATTAGGACGAAACAGTTGTAATAGATTACACAATTGTTATTAATTTATTATTTATATTTAAGCATTAATTAGAGATCTTGCTTTGCTCGTAACCCTTTTTATTCTTTTTAAATTCTTTTTATTCGTCGTTTCTTATACATTATACGAGAACTTGTAAAACTCGAAGGAGGTGAAATGCAAACCTGAAACAAAGGGCGACTCCCATGGCGGCGATAGCCATTCCAAAACCACTGAAGAAGGCCAGGATCTTCCTGCCGAAGCTGTTGGCCAGTCCAGCGCCGAGGATTGACGCGAACAGCCTGATGACACCCATGCCGACGCTAGCCGCGTACTCATTCATATCTATGCCGATATCCTTGAGCACGTTTACAGCATAAAACAGGATCACGTAGATGCCGGACAGTTGCTGGAGCGCGAAAAAGATGAAGAGTATCACGAACGGTTTCCACACGTTGGGCTTGTGTAACGCCCGCAGTAGGCTCTCTTTTTTTTCCTTCCGCTTCGCGTTCGTCTCGCAGAGTTCTTGATACTCTCTGTCGACGTTCAATCCGGGTCCTCGCAGCCACAGAAGAGCCTCCTTGGCCTCGTTCGTTCGACCCCTTGAAGCCAACCAGGCGGGAGTTTCCGGTATTATCCTATAGAAATAAACCATTTTGTTTAATGTTTGGAAAATTGTTATTGAATTTTTATGGGAATATTTGAAATTTTATGATTTTATACGCGCGTGAGTGAAATAAACGGACTTTCGCGACTTTTTATTTCACAATAATGAAATCAGGGCAAGTGCGAGTACCAATTTCTGCGCGATAATTCGTGCACCAAAGATTTAATTATTTCTATTTAACAATTGCAAATCAACCGTACCATATCAACGCGAGTGACAGAATCGCGGGTCCGATGCTGACAACGGCCGCTTTTTGCCACGTCGTGATGGTACCTAAGGTATACACAATCAAGACGCCCAGGGAGACTAGAACTGGTCCACAGCTCGCGAGCCACGCTCTTTGATTTGGCGCTGCCGCCTAGAAGAAAATAAGATATTTTCGTCTTCAGAATTTAATCTGCACATGAAATGAATAAAAAAAAGTATCAATCATTAATCATACTAATTAAAACTTATAATAATCGTATACGTACATTTGTTCAAATATTGATACACATCGAATATTAATACACATTTGTTCAAATATTGAACGAAAAGCTTCGCGATAGCTGCATAATCATGGCAAAAATCTATCATTTGCGTTTCCTGACGTCGCAAAGGTGTACTTGCCTCGCTGACGTAGAGATAATACCCGTTGGCCATGCCAGTGCCGATACCGCTGATGAATCTGCCGACATACAGCATCGATACATTTCTTGATAACGCAATCAGCAGCCAGCCAACGGTGTGCGGTATCGCGGCTAGGGCGATCGCGGATTTGCGGCCGAAACATTCAGCGCAGATTCCGGCGACGAAGGCACCGAGGGGATTTGAGATTACACCGAGGGAAGCGATCCACGAAGCCTGTGACTGGTCCACGAAGTTTGTCTCGAGGAGTTTCGGTATCAGAATCGCGCTGTATCCCTGGGAGAGTCCCACGGAGATCTGGCCGGAGTGCGCGGCCAAACCCGCGAAGATCTGCAAATGTCAAGTTTTATTTCATGAAATATTTATCACGCGTGCGCGTAGATATTTTTATTAATTCTCAAGTAATCAATTATGAAGCTACAGCTAAGTTACCGATTTTGCTAATTAAAAAAAAAGGTTTCTTATATGAGATATGAGGATTTCCTTATATAAGATGGTATCTTATAATAGAAAACCAAGGGAAGAAGTAAAGAAAAGCTTTTACTACACAAAAATAGGAACATAGCAAATTGCAATCTTTATTATAAATAGTAATTGTATAAATAATTTTTCAATGACTTTGTTATTTCAAAAAAAAATAATTCTAAGACTAGATCAATTACAATTAGCATATTAAACTTATATACTATAAAATGAAACAGAAAATAAACAAAATTTATACGTCTTAATTTTCAGAAATTAAGTGCCTTGAGTACCTCATATATATTACGAGCCTCGATTTCACGATCATCAAATTTAATCTTTATAATTAAATAAATTATCATACTTGGTATTTTCCTATTAATACAACCTTACTCTTTTATTGCATATGGAATTTATTATCAATTGATAATAAATTGATAATAAAGTGATAATAAATTGATGAAACCAACCACTCGCGCTTATTTTAGCAGAAATTCGGAAGCAGTAATTATATCTCATTAGAAGCCTATCCTGTAATAGGCAATTTTCCTTATCTTTCCTTTTTTAATTTAGAGAAATTCGGTATTTAAAAATTCATTCGGGGAAAGACAACGAATTCCTTTCTTTATCTCGACACGTATGATGGACGATCCAGTTATTTTCTGCATGTTCAAATGAAGCAACGATAGTACCGAATAACAACGCGATGACGCACTCAATATGGGCGTTATCACTTCGACGCTTAAAATAAAAAATGTTAAAAAAGATCGGTACATTATGCATTGTTCGAAACGAAAGCACAAGATCGCTATCATAAACGTTGAGTAAATTATTCGTAACAATGTGTCTCCGTAGTTAGTTATTATCACTCGGATCGCAAAAGAAAGTGGTAAGCTGGTCGAAGGTTGCATCAAGGATTGCGCTCGGGGCTATGAAACCCACATCGGTATCCAATTTCATATGGAAATTCGCTCCCGATTGTAACAATAGAGGCACGAGACTTAGGCAAATAATGCGCCACTCTAAAAGATAGATTCTGTTCCTCTCGCGGATACACAAATACTAGAGCATATTCAATTTTAATGCAATCATAATAGCTTGAAAAAAGAGTGAAATAGAAGAGTAACAAATAAATAAAATAAAAAACAAAGAAATATTCAAATTAGTGGCTATTAAAGACTATATTGAGTCTATTGTTGGTCTAATTGATGCTGTCAGACGGAAAATCGAGCGAAAGGATTGTTACGATGAACGAGTGTTAGGCATTATGATAGCTTCAAAAATTCCTCAGCATCGAAGGACGAGAATCGAGAAGGCCGATTGAGACGCCTCCACTCTGTCGGTTTTTATCCATTTATTTATTTATAAACGATCATCTTCCCTTCGACGGCCTCGCTTAACAAAGTTCTTCTTATACGTGCGTAATTGTTATTCGCACCAATTGCAATGTATCAAGCAGATGGTGAGATGCAATTACAGAGGCAGGAAATCAATGTATCCTCTACACCAATTATATTTTTTTATTTTTGCTTATTTATTATTATCATAATTTCTTACTTTATTCCCTCGATGTTAATTATTGTACAATAAAAGATTTTCGGACATTTCTTTGTCCTGTCTGGCTTCATAAGCAATTATTTTAGCGTTATATTCTCCGTGAGAAGGAATTTCGGCAAAAAATTGTATCTCCTCGATTAAATAAATATCGCGCAATGAGGAATATTTTCTCACGTGCAAGTTCGACACTTATTCGCTTCACTTCGTGAAATATCGAAATTACGCAACACGTCGTGCGCTCCATGTCGGAATTAGTATCGCTGAAGAATGCGGTACCGCACGTGCTTAATTGCGGCGCCGCTAATCGTAACGCTGGATTAAGTAACTTACACCATTCTTGTCGCCGGAATGAAGGATCTTCCACCAGAGCTTCATCCGAGTGACCATCGTACGCCTCGAAGGGCAGTTGGGTGTACTGTAGAAAAATAGGACCAGATGGATTAACAGCGGTAGATATTATATTTATATAAATTTATTTACATATATATAAATTCAGTTATTCATTTTTGCACACATAAATTAAATGATTATTATTATTATTATTAAATAAATAAATGGTATCATTATTAATCACGGATAAAGTCTAAACGATGTGCGATTAGAGCTCTTTATGTCATCTAAAATCGAATCTCGTTGCGCGAATCTTTTCCGATTTCAAAGAAAAAAGTTCGATGTGCCGTTTGACGAGTCGCTTCCTGTCTGTTCCTCGTTGTGAATAATGATATAACAATGATAACACGCGATCGCACTCGTGCAGAAAATTCCTCGAACACTCGGACTCGGAGATCTCGATCGCGACGATCTCGCGTAACTTTGATTCGCGATGAAAAGCGTTAACTCACCTCGACATCAATCATTGTACGTACAAGCGTAATTACTACAAAGGTAACTGCCGTTGTTGATAAAGAAAAAAAGAATTGAAAAAATATTTCAATGTGTGTGGATGCCATGCATTTCTCGAATTAATTGATTTTCTAACAGACATTGTTCATTACGATCTGCACGACTGGTTCTTGCATTATTCATTCATACTGCACTGACGTTTCATTAACACTTGCAGATAATCGATACAAGATAAATACTTTTTAAATTTAATTTGTAATTCCATTTTGTAAGTCTCTGCGTAGGTAGAAATTAATTGGAATAGATCTCAAGATCGAAGGAAATTTTAATGAAATTCTTAAATACGTTACTTTTTAGTTAAGTGTTTCGCGGGTTATCTATAATATGTTTATATCCACTGTGTCTATATAAATTTTTAGAATGCCACGTTTCGTGAACATTTGCAGTTCACTTTATCGGGGCGACCCTGATGAAAATAAAAATCGGAGCGTAAATCAGATGTAATGGAAGAATAACAGAAGCGAGAACGAAATTTCTAGAAGGCGAAAATTGGAATAATAAAATGTAAAAGAAGCATTTACGCTTCTTTTATACACTTTGATGTTTTAATTTTCGCTTCTTACAAGTTCCATTTACGCTTCTGTTACTCTCCCATTACATTCGACTTTTATTTTCATCAGGGGAGAAGCAGTCTGACACATTTTACAATAAGCTATTAGTGATAAATAAATAAAAAATCAAAAGCCAGAAATTGACCAATCATAATCAATTATTCTTCTCACATTCGACTATGATTGGTCAATTTCTAGCCTCTGACTTCTGATTTATTACTAATGGCTTGTAGAATGTGTGTTACTGTTTATTATATCGCGCGTGATTTCATGTGGCGCACAAATTGAATAATGATCGTGAGATTAAGCGATCATTCGCGACGGTCCGGCACTCGAAATGCTTGAAGAACTGACAGCAACGTCACCCGGGGTCTCGTGACAGTCGTGACTCACGAGACCGGTCTGTTATCGCCGCTAGATCCTCAATCGGTTTCTCACGTTTAACTCAATTTAACCCATTAATGCGGCACGCGTGGATTAGAGTTCGAGACTTATCGTCTCCATCGCGCGTTCATTCATCATATCATGCCGCTTCGATGCCTGCGATAAGATCGACGCCGATTAACAACGTTATAAATCTGTTTGCAAATGTCAGCTGTGCAGATTCTCATACGTTTTATACGCTATGAAAGACACGTCTCGGCCGTCATAAGATCTTCTTATTAAGATCACGAGTGGATTAAGGATCTTGGTGTTCGCCCTTCCTGTTTGTTATTGCTCAACAAGCTATTACGCGCTTGCATTGACATAATTTTCATCAAGAAATACACACGCGGAGTATTTTATTTTTCAGATACTAAATACGAGAAGCACCGGTTGCGATCAAAGCTATTGATGTTAGACTAATAACATATATATGTATTTTAAATAAATTTATCAGAAATATGACTAATAACTCTTTCCAAAATTTTATTTTTATTTTTATTAATTCAAAAGTAATACTTTTTTTCACAATAAAATTATTTATATGTTTTAAGACGATTAGCATCAGATTATTAAGATCTAAGATGCCTGTAATCAATATTAATGTTATCAATATTATTAAATTGTTTAATTTGTGATTGCTATTCTAGTTCTGTTAGAATTGCGTTTCAAGACTAAAAATTAAATTCGACGTTCAATTTGCAGAGTTGGATATGTATAGTATATAAATTCACATCGAATTATTTAAGAACTAAAGATCCAACTTGGCCGTTTGAGGTCTTTATTTCTTGTTTCTTGTTTATTAATTAAAATTTTATAAGCTGTTAATAAATTTGCATTCAAAGATAATCACATAATGAAAAGGATGAAGTACTCGGAAAATTACGAATTAATTGTAAGATTATACTGCATCATGGTTTCCTGTTCGCGCGTCGTAACAGAATGCACAATGCCAATCACATTGCCGTCCAATAAAATATCTACACAAAAATGATCGGAGAATGAAAAATACTAGACAACATTCGTCTGTCAAAAAGATTTGCGAAATGAAATCGAGTTAACATTCGCGATTGCCATGAGTGCGTGCGAATGCAATTCGTAATTTATAATGATAATAATAATAATAATAATCTTATTGAAGTGCAAAATAACAAGAGAAATATAGGTAAATGTACAGTATAAAATAAAATTAATAAAATAAAGAAAAATGCTAAATTATAAATATTAATCGGGCTCTCAAAATTAAAAAATACAATAAAATATATAGACAATAAGAGCATATACACAGCGCGGTTATTGGTGCGCAAATTTCTATATAATTAATAAATAATGTCTACATAGGATATAAAATTATACAATAATTACCTGTACTATATTATTCGTACGTTTCAGTTTTCTTCAAACTATCATCAGCGAATCCATAAATACTATCGTAGATGTCTTGACAATAATCTTATGACAATGTTGAAATTCAAATCTATTTAAAACTGAGGGTGAGCATTTCCCTATTTTCTGGTTGGGAAAAGCCGTAAGTCTCTTCGTTAAAAAGCCAAGTGACTGACACTAGAGAACAAATTATGTAAAATTAATTATATTGTTATGTTTTCAATGTATTGTATTATTTACCTTCATTCTCCACAGATTACAATTCGTTATTCCAAATGTATAAGGAAGTCAAGGAATACAAAGGAATATAACAAAGGAACGATAACAAGTTATTCCAAATGAAGTCAAGGAATACAAAGGAACGATAACAAGAAGTATAGACTTAGTTTTTACATTATACGATATAAAATTAAAACATATGTTATCCCAACTAATGATCGTCAAATTCTATTCCGCGAGCCACTTCCGTAAAGAAAAATGCACTTCAAAATGTGAAATATCAGCTATCGTAATGCTATCTTGAACCCCAAGCCTATAATTATAATTGAGAAATGCAGTAAAATTATAGTTTTAAATGATCGAAAAAAACCAAATTTTTTGACAATTTGAAAAAGAGGTTTTTTTTAAACTGTAAGAAAAACAATAATAATAATAATATAATATAACAATAATAATAATAATAAATTTAGAGGACAGACAAAACAAAACGATTTCTGCTGTCTTGAAAAAGCAAAACAATGACTCGTCATGAAAAATTGCCCGAAGAATTTCATTCGTATGACATGACATGCATCTCTATCTCTGTTTTTGTTATCGCGGTTTGGATTAGCTTGTATTGTTTTCACAGCGATCGCAAGTGTTAACGAATGCAGCGACAGGTGCAACTCTATCGACACAAACACCTCGTAATTATTAAAGGAGAAAAGAGAATTCACTACGCAAGTAGCGAAAACAAGTAGTTCAAAAATGTCATGAAAAGATATCGTGAGAAATTTTGCGTTTGACGTATGGTATTTGACGTGACACAGGTGAATTTTTTGTTTTCTTTTCAATTACGCTTAATTAATGGAATTTAATTATTTAACGCGTGTGTAAGTTTAATTTGATAGAAAATTAATTTTGCTTGTACGTCCAACAAGACGCTCGATTAATTCAATTTAATTCAATTAAAATGGCTAATTTGATGAAAAGCAATTAATCCATCAGAAGATAAATCATGAGATATAAGTACCTTGCAATTGTATCAGCTACTCTCTCGTCTGGATCAATGACAAGGATATTCCTCTCTAAAATCTTGCACAATCCTCGCGCCGTTTTTCTTCCATATCGGCATCAATGACAAACGGTACCTCTCTGTCTCTGTTTTTCCTCAAGTCATCCCAAGAGGTCCATCCTCCGGGACTTGTTCGCGAAAAGCGCGAGCGTTTATGCGGATACGGATCATAAATTAGGGAGGACGCAAACGGAATAGAAATTTGCAAAAAGAGTCCGACGACAATTGCAAGCCAGACCCCTTATAACGTGAGAGGAAAAGTGACGAAGAAAGAAAGAAATAAAACGTCGGAAGTTCAAGTATCGCGACGGAAGACTCCGATCGTCTCAGCGTTCGACAAAAGTTTCTAGATCGTGGCTTTTTTCGACGACGACGTCTTGTGAAATATCTGTCGCAGGAGTCTCTTCTTCGTGGGTTCCTCCTCGTGCCGGTCACACGAGTGCATGTGATTCTGGTTGGCAGATTGGCCGCGTATTGAACGGCTGCACCGTCGCGGCTTTTTTCGCGCTCGACACTGAGACGATTTTCGTCCGCGCCTTCGCATTTATACCAGCAGCGCGGCAAAGACGGCCGCTGACTCTCTCGAAACGTACGACGTGGTTCGCGAAGCGCCCTTCCAGGATGGTCTTCGAGGTCTCCCCCTAGAGATATTCCTTACCATCAAAGAACGAGCTGCGGGGATATTCCTAAATTGAATTCTCTGAATTAATCTTATTTCGTAGTCAGGTGCTTTGTATCGATTTGATGAGAATATAGGATTATGTGAGTGCTCCGACGGATATTGAATGGAAATGCAAATTGATCTGGATTTATGAATAGAACTAAAAATGATCTTATATTTTTTATTCTTAATGAGAAAAAATTATCTTTGTAAGATAATTTACACGTAGAAATTGAAGATGGATATTCTTGAACTGAATTAAAAAAAATTATTAATACAGCCCCTACGACACAAAAGTTGCAGCAACAATGCTGCAACATTGCAGCAATATTGCATGGTGCAGCAATATTGCAACGTTATTGCAGCAATATTGCTGCAAATTCTGTGATGTATAAATACAATGGGAGATAAATAATTCGTGTACTCATTTTTTGGGCAAATAAAAATTTTATTTTATATTAATACTCAATAATTAAAAATTAAAATTGTATGTAGGCTACGAGTAAAAGCTGGATGTCGAGTGCTAAATTGATATTTAATATGTAAAACATAAATAAGAACCCAGACAGCACAAAATATTAAAAGATAACAAAAAGATGTCTTTTTTAAATCGTCTTTCTGGTAAAGTGAAAAAATGTCTAAAAGATGATGAAACGACATTGTTTTTAGATTGTCTTTGCAGCAAGACCAAAAGATATCTATAAGACATCTTTTAGTTTTGTCGAAAAGACACCTTAAAAAAGACATCTTTTCGTCATCTTTCTATGGTTGTCATTTTCGCAAAGCAAAAGGTCGACTAAAAGATATATTTTCGTATTACCGAAAAGACAATCTATGAAAAAGATATCTTTCCGTTATTTTGGTACTTTTTATCACTCATTCGCGAGCAGTACGCGAGATTGCCACCAGATGGACATGATGGAGTTCAATTTCTCGTGTTTGAAAATCATACAGGACAGAATAAAAGGTGCAGCATAATGAGAAATTTTACTCGTGTTCTAATGAACACTAATAAAATATTTTTTTGCAATCGAGTCCCCAAAGGGGACTATGATGAAAGATAATGACTCTTTCACATAGGACACGGCAAACAATGCAGGAAATGGGACGTATATTGTTAGTCATGCAATTTTATTTCGTTTTGTGTAAAAACTAATTTAGGAATTCAATGTATTAAACGTTATATGCATCAAAATATAAAAACTAAAAGATATCCAAAGAAGTCATCCTTCAGTTATCGTATGGATAAGACTGTAAGATGACTAGCAGTGCGATATCTGTCGTCTTTTAGTCATCTTTTCGTCGACTATATTATTTCGCTAAAAGATATCTTTATAACAATTTAGTTGTCTTTTAGGTCATCCTCAGTGTAACAAGAATAGTTAAAAATAAAAAAAAATGTTTTTGACAATATTACTATGATTTAAGCGATACTGGACAATAACGGAATGGAAGATATCAAAAGTGAAGAGAAAAGTGATTCGGAATTTTGTAACTCTTTACGTATAATTTAAATTTTACTATTAATCGACTTGGCGTTGCAAACTTTTTTTTATTTTATACTATACTTGTTACAGTGAGGATGACCTAATGAAGGTTAAAACGTTTGTCTATTGTATATTCTTATCTATGTTTTAAATAGTAAATATCAACTTAGCACTCGACATCCAGTTTTTACTCGTAGCCTATATACAATTTTAATTTAAAATGTTATTCAAATTAATTTTATATCATAAGTAATAAAAGTTATTCCGATATAGCGACATTAAAAGTTACTTTTAAACATAAATATATTTCTAATGTGCATTTATAATAATGTGTATAAATAAATTTAATGAATGATTAATTTCAATGACAATGAGGGTTTTCTCATCGTGTGAAAAATCTAAGAGTAATGATTATTGCGAAGAGAACTATCAGATACACGGAAAAATGACTCAATGCAGCCCCAGAGGGCTAAACGAAGGATGCAGTTTAATTCATCCTCGAGTTTGCGGTTTTCAGATTACGATCTGTACGAAACTCGGCGATATTTCTCTTTGCCGTTATGGGGCTTTCCAATGACAGAAATTGCTTTTTTCTGCACTGTCACCGTCCGGATCTTATTGCCGATGAGTGATAAGCTAATTCTGATTTGACTCGGCAATAAATAAAGCTCGATTCGTGCTCGCGCATTAACACAGCTTCACGGGAAAATACGCGGTTGCAAGTAACAGATACATTAGACTTCGGATCTGAAAGACACAGATTCAGAATGAAAACATTTGGAAAAAATTCAAGAATCACGTAATGAAGGAGAAGATAAAAGAGCATTTGAGATATGTAATCTCTTGCCTGAGATAAAAATTAATTTGGGACAGGGATGTCTAAATCATATACAAGGAAGCACAAGAAATCCTTACATTACCTTGTAAACTATTTTCCGTTTTTAAGTAAAGCTCAGTCATAAGCATCGAATTTCGTGATTTGAGAAACTTTGAAAAGGGGATGGAGAACGGTAACACTCGTAACAACAGTTAACAGTTATCTTTATCAGTGAAGAAACCTAACTGAAGTCGCATTGAAAAGCAACGGCTGGCAGTAATTGGCGACTACTTCGAGGCTCTTTTTTTTAAAGAACTCATTATCTTTACGCGATCGTACAATCGCCACGCTAGGCATCCAGCTGATTATAATTGGTTGTTTTAAGCACGGTAACGTTTACTTCTATTCGTGACGGGAGGCATGACCTTAAATTCTTATAGCGATTGCAAAGTTCTACGCTCGCAATAAAAAGTAAACGTTAACAACAATAGAAACAGTTGCGATTAACGTCTCTAACCCGCGAAAATGTCTGCGAAAACGCATTTTCTCCTTCTCTCCCACCCTCTCTCTTTCGCATACAGATAATCCTCTTCATTGAAAATTCGATATAAAACGTATGATTCGGAGACTCTTTTCGTTGTCGCAAAATTATTTACAAAATGAGCCTATTATATTTACGAATTGAATATTATTTATCGCATAACACTCTAGTATTGCGACAACTCGGGGTGATAACTGGCAATCATTTTTTTCATGGTTATCTCTTCGAATTTCATCGCTTAATTATATCGTAACTTATAATATCGCATAGAGTGCTCGCGAATATAATTCGTAGGTGGGTAGGTGGTTTTTTGATTCGATATCTATAATTTATGGACGCAGTAATATAACGTATTTATGGAGCTCGTATTATAACGTAGATCAATTCGATAAATTAATCCTCACCTGCCGCTTGCGACATAATTAATGATACAATTTGCAGACGGCAGTTTGTCACGGATATTAAACTTGGTCGGGATATAAATCGCCCGTGTTGTATTGTAAACAATGACATAATTCATTATATCTAATATTATATGTGATGACACATTAAAAAAGTTACACAAAACTCTCGATTTTCAACAAAAGAGGAAAAAATGCCAGCAAAAACTCCTATTTCGAAACAATTTTCCTGAGCAAATATAGTAAATAAAATCAGAGTTGCTTGCGATTTTTCAATTTTTCAATTTCATTCTTAAACACAAGTTTCCTGTAAAATGTTCGTGTATATCACGATTGAGAGAGTATTAGAAAGGATCCGAACTAACGAAGCCTATTTCCGTATTTCCGCTCGAAGGTCGCAGCCCGTTGATCTCGTCAATGATGTGGACGAACGAACGAAAGTTTCCCGATTAGGAAACACGTTCAAGGATCAATTTTAACTCAGAAAGCGACTATCTCCGTGACAAACGACTTTCATGCAAATCGTGGGAGCCCGCAACCCTGATTGCTTCCTTTATTTCCGTTTCCGATTACGACAACCTTCTGTCGTCAATGAGAATCTCACCGTCAATGAGATTATTTACAGATGACTGACAATAACAGAAAAATCTAATCTGCTCACATAAATAATCCTCAGAAAAGAGAATCAACAATCGATCAGCGTGAATCGTCAAAACATTTTCGGTGGATTTCCTCTACCATTTTCATCAACGTTACACGTGAAAGTAACATAGCTAATTAAACGAATACTAAAATATTTACTTTTCGTTGATTATGTTTATATAATTAATTAACCTTGGATAAGAAACCTGTAATTCTTTTTTATAATAAAAATTACGAAACCACAAAAGGAAGCTATACGAGACTTTAAGAAACAATTGTATCGAAGGAGAAAGATTAATGACTTTATTTTTAATGCTTTTATTCTCTGATCTTCAAACAAGCTACGTAATTGGCGAGTTCTCCGTAATCTATATTTGCGAGTTCTCCCTGTGTTATCTGAAATTGCTTCTCATTTTGATGAAGTAAACTGTAATATTCACAAAACATTGGCATTTAATGATTAAGACACGGAGATAATCCGTAAACCGCTTCTTTGAATCTATCTTTCTTTAATTTCTCAGCTCGCAAGTCATGAGGACGCTTATTATATTGACATTTGTCACTATTATTAATAGCTTTGCTCGATGACAGTGATCCATTCTATAGAAGACAGAGATTCATTTCAACGAGATCTGGTATAAATCGGCCGTCATATATTTGCTATGATTGCAAAAGAAACATATGGTTGTTTTTCCAATGAGACAATCGCGTTAATATAAGCGGCGCGAGGGCGACCAATTCGCGTACATTGTTAAATTTACAGGGTCAAATTTAATCTAAGATGAGTCGCCACAGCTCTTACTAAATAAGTTATTTTATTTTAAAACGATAATTAAATTTGATACTATATCGTGTTAATTTGACTATATAGATCCAATTGACATGCAGGGTTGGGTAAGTTAACTAAGTTTTTTAACTAAGTTAAGTTAAAGTTAACACAGCCTTGAAAATTTAACTTAATTAAAA